TTACAGGATCTACTGACACACACAGAGAACAGCTCAGAGAGCATCAGGAGAACCACACAGTACATTAAAGAGAAGATCAGAGATGGACATGGACTCTGCACTGAAAGATCAGAAAGTGCAGGTTTTACTGTCTGGTCCATAAGCAGCTGTAAATTTAAACTGTAAATAATGAAGCTCGTCAAACCTTTCTGGGTTCAGCCTAGTTTCTGGTTCTACATATAGCACATAATCCAGATCCCTGTGGTTAGTCAGCACCTCCAGGCAGTGTTTATGTAGGTTTCATTTTTACATACATAAAAGTTTCAGATGTGCATTTTGTTTCCTTTTACTCTTTTTCTTTTTTATTGAAATTTGGCATTGTGTGTACTGTTGGTCTATTGTCAGAATAAAACAGTAATAAATACAAAAGTTCTTTGACACTAACTCGCCACATGTCGTGTATTTACAGTGAAACCGCTCTGTAAGTAAGGCTTCGAGGGTGTGGAAACTGATTAGAGGTTACAAACACACTGACTAGGACTGGCACTTTTTTCATATAACAGTCTCCGCTCTTGATAGAAATAGTTAGAAATGTGAAGAACTCTAGTAGCTTGTATGTCTTTGCTGTCAGAGAGGAGACAGATTACTTTATAAGACACAACTGCAACATATTGATGAGATGAATGTCTCGAAGTGTCTAGAACATCCACAATTGCACAGACAAAAAGCTCAGGTAAATATTATTGGGTATTTAGTGTCTCAGTATCTCCGTTTACGAACTCAAAAATCATTCAGTAGTTCTCTTCAAGAGTCAGAAGAGTTATAAAAGCATAACAGAGGACAGTGGAACTGGTTTGTGGCGTGTGAATGAACAAAAGCATATGAACCGGTTCCTCCAGATGTCTTCCTGCAGTTTGATAACTGTAAATGTGCCTTCTAGATTTCGAGAGCAAATATGTTCTGCTGTCAGTAGTGTAAAAGTCAAACCAAGCATCTTTGATCAGAATCCGTGTGAACAACTTGAACCCGTTGCGAAATCTGCGTCACGACCACATTAATGCGCAATTCTCGATTGATTAGCTGCATTACTATTGAAAAGAGCTGTTTGTCCTGTCAATTTGCTCATTTATTAACTTTTAATTTATTTGTTCATCCCTCGAATAAATAACTTTAAACAATATGCTAGAGATAGAGGTCACAACACTGTTTTACCACAAAAACCCATCTGATGATCATTTAGCGCCCCCTTCTGGACAGAGACCGACCAGACAAGCACATGGGTTTTAATAAGAGATTACAAGACCTGGTCTGTTGATGATGAAAATGAACATTTGAAATTAAACTTCACAAACTGTTGGAACTTTTACATTGTTTCTTGTAGCGTGTATTACTTTCTAATACTTTAATTGAATCTCAGGATGGGCACTCGTGCACCGACAGGATCAGCGAGGTCTGTGAGGTTCACCTTCGCAGGACAAAATCATTTGAATGATGAATTACAATTTCTACTAAAGATATTAAAGGCTACATCAGAGCCTTATTTGTTTTACAGAAGTATGAAAAAAATCCACGAGAGCAAATACTGAGACAGAAACTGCAGATGGACAACAGACCATAAAGAGAGGAACCAAATCAACACAAGCAGTAACACAGTAACTGCTGCTCAATTAAATTTACAGCCTTGTGCTTTCGCACATGCCATTTTGTTCTTTTTAATGACACTCCTTATGTCTGCTTTTTTGATGAAACAGGAGGAGCAGACTGGAACTGACAGTAAAACACAGAAGCATCTTACACACAGCAACAGATGCGGACCATCTTCAGTCTCAATCCGATGGACTGAAGAGTGCAAACTGTCAGCTGGAGATACTGAGGTAACATTTTGAAGATTAATAATGATCGATCGCTGACAGTGTTCACCAGAGGCAAATCCGGCATAGACAGTAAAGGCATTCCTCATGCTGTTGTGCCTCTGAACACAGCTTTCGAGATGCATACTCACTATTGCTCCATCTGCAGAACTTGCCTGACCCTGCACGCTGTGTGCATCCCTTCTCGTGTTATAAATTAACCAAATCAATGTAATGGCAAAATAAAATGCTAAAAATTAGAATTGTTTCATGATTAAAAAATAATAATAAAAGCTGACAAATGAACTTTTTATACACTGTAGATTACCAGTGATTGGTTTAAGTGTGGAACCATCAGGATTTACATTTCAGAAAAATTAGATCAAAGGTAAAGGTATGCCTTGCATGTCATTTTTTGATATTGTGTGCGTTTATTGCACGGGACCAGAAGGGTTCAGGTTTTTTTCAGGGATTAGGAGTGATAGCAGAGTAAGAGCAATGTATTTAAGAAGGTCTGCCAATACATAATTTACTGATTTTATCATTTAATTGTGCAGTGTATGTTATATATGTATTTTTTTTTTATTCATAGTTTTAATATTTTAATAAATAATTAAAAATGGATCTTTCTCAGTGCTTCATAAAATAAGTAGTTAGACGTACAAAGTCTATTATGTTGTGATTCATCTCAAAAGTTGTTTGGTTTAGTTCATAGCTCAGAATTCTTAAAAAAATAAATGCAAAAAAAAAACACTATGGAGAAAATGAATGGGCAAATACTGAATTCAGAATAGCATACTGGCATACTAATATTTCTGGTCTGGTATATGGCAGAAATACCTTAGAAACTAGAAAGGTAGTGTGCTATCTGGTAACATGCAACAGTTGCTGTTGTGATATTTTTTTGCAATAGTGCTAAACACCCAGTCCAAACGCAACTTCAAAGCCAACTTCAAGATATTTAAAGCTTCTTGAACTCATCTCTGAAACATTGTTGTATTATAATACACTAAAACGTTATTTTACTATAATTAATTGTGATATATTGTAATTAGTTGGCTACAACTGTTAATCAAGATATGACAGAAAGTGTTTACTTTTACCACAACTTGCTATTGGAAAAAGCCTAGCGGGAGCTCGCATAGCCACTGAAATGTTAGCGGGATTATTCCATATACAGTAGGCCTATTTTTTATACTTGATAACCCTTTAGTTTATTCAAGTGTGCTATTAGTATACTTCTTTTAAACTAAAAAAATAGGAAAGTATACGTTTAGTCTACTTTTTATGTACTTCTCAGAAATGGGCTTTATGTACTTCTCAGAAATGGGCTTTATGTACTTCTCAGAAATATACTTAAAATGACATTTAAGTATACTTGACTTATAGCCTACTTAGAAAAAGTCTCAATATATTTGAGCTATACTTGTGCTTTCAATATTCTGTGTTTTCATTGTTATACTGTAGGGGGCGCTAGTACACATCTTCTGTACAGAATTTCCAAAAAACACAAGTGAAGAAGAAACCGAAACAACAGATGCTTCCACATGTATTCTAACACGATCATCAGACATAAAACAGCATCAAAACTGTGTAACGTTATGGAATAAAATATCGACCAATGAAGAGGTAATAATGACTGTCAAGCTTTGGGTTGTTGATCGACTCCATCTACGTTTTGAATATCTTTCTGAATCCAATTCATAGTCTTTTTTCAGCTTTTTGTTCAAAATGTGTTTTTTTTTTATTATTATTATTTATGAAACTTACCCACATTCAAGCGTTTTTAAAAAAGAATGCATGAAGCTAGAATAAAATGTTTTTGTTTACAAGCAGATCGTATACTTAATAGTATACTTTTATATACTAGAAAGTGGGCCAATTCCAATTCCTTGGCTTAGTACCAATGAGTATTGAAATAGTACACTTACAAGTATACTTGTCACGAATCCTGTCCATGGACTTCCGTTCAATCACCACCAGAGGTCACCCTTTCATTACATTGACTCTCTCGTGTCGTGTTCTCTCTATTAAAGCGTTCGCGGTGAGATTGTCCCGGTCACGCCTGCCGCATCCAGCACAAACGGGAATAGCGTTTCTCGTCCACAACAGAGTGCATCGTTAGGTGTCGGTGAATTGTTCGATCGAAGCGAAGGCCTGTGCTGTTGTCCGTCCCTGAGGCAGCGGTGTGTGCATTGTATGCAGCAGCAGCAGCAGCATCCGTGACAGCCGCATCTTCCATTGCTCTGTTGCTCTCTGCTGGGATCTTCTGCATCTTCACCAGCATCACGACAGCTGCCAAATTCTCTTCATATTAAACCGAATATCCGGTTTTGGCGAAGAGATAGTTTTTTTTTGTTTGTTTTTTTCTGTCGTACACATTTTGAATGCAGATGTGAACGCAGGCTTTTTATTCATAAATGCCAAACTGTGTTTCTAGTCGTTGTGTATTTGTGATGCAGGCCGTGAGTTCAGTCACGGAGACGTCCACGGTGGGTTTCCGCGCTGAGGGTCGCGGGTGCTGTTGATTATCAGTCATTGTTACGGATTTAACCCGGTTTTAAAGCGCTGCTCGGTTGGCGTGGACGGGGACGACGCGTTTGTTTTTGCCTGAACTCAAATTTTTATTTTTATTAATATGACTATTTTTTTATTTCAATGAAAATTGTCTGCCAGACAAGGATCGCCCTTTGTATGGTGGTGGACGGGGAGCGGCGCCAGACGGGATACAATATATATTTTTAGCTCAGTTCCTCATTATTAATTTTATAGCCTTTTCAGTGTTTAGTTTTCAATGAAAACCAGCAGTCCGCCAGAAGAGGATCCCCCTCAGCTCGCACTGCAATACCCTTGACGATCAACAGTTCGTCGCGTGAAGGCGAACCCCGCGCGATTATTAGTCGGAGCGGTGCGACATCGAGTCGCAGATTTCCCATAATGACTAATAAACCAGAACGATTGTCGCCTTCGCTCATGGATGCTCGTAATGTTATTTGGTAATTCGTCTTATGGACAGGGTCAGGAGACTGTATTCATATTGGATTATATCATTGCATGTGTTTATTATTCCTCCTGCGTGTTTGTGACTGAAGACGATCTGTAAAGTGGATTATTCCGATTTTCAATATCATGTTTTTGGCCATTTCATCGTCTGGAAAGATGGCAGCTGATTAAATTTTAATCTTGATGCATTCTGGCGACACGGGAGGAGAAGAGGAGAAGCGAGTGAATCGGGGAGGAGAGGGAGAGGAGAGGATGTAGGGTGGATACAGAAGGTAAGAATGAATGAGTGAACGACTGTCACACACACATTCTCATGCACATATCACTGTCCATACACCTTTACTTAGCCATTAATGAGCACATAGAACACAATTCTATCATTTTTTTTCATTAGCATTTAAAAATTTACAGAAATAAGATAAATAGGATGAATCAAGGTAAATTGGGACACCTTTTGCCATTGAGATGACCAAATGGCCCAATTATTCTTAATTTGCACTATACACACACACACACACACACATATATATGACTCATATTTACAACTGAGAACTGAATGCCCCCCAAAATATATATTTTACTTACTTACATCTGAGGACACACATACATATAGTAATATGCATCATTGTGCATACACATATCACTGTATGCACTCACACATAAGCGCACATTCTGCATGCTCAGACCTATATATCACACACACACACACACACACACACACACACACACACACACACACACGTTGTGGTCATATTTCATTGCATGTAAATTGAGTTACAGGCCAAAGGCGAGCCGTACGCTGCGGCGCGTGAGTGGTGTGTAAATGTGCTGGCGCCACTGACTGCTGGTGCATTCTGACAGACCTCCATCTCTCCATTCCTCCCCACCCAACATCTCCTCCATCTCCCGCACATGCCGTATCTTTCTCCTGCGCGATGCATGAGCCCCAACTATTGCATTTGGATAAGCTTTGAGTGAGCTAAATCTGGAAAAACACCCCTTCGTTTGTCTTCTTTGGGGAAATTATTCATAACTAAAACAAATAATGTTTTCATAATGTTGCCTTCTAAACATGGTGAATGTTTTCTTTTAAGGTTTGTGTTGATCTGTCTATTAGTACGTCTATGGTACAGTATGTCCCCTTTAGAAAGATAAGTGTGAGTTGCTTACCTACATTTTGAGGATAAATGTGTCTTCAGAAGTGAGCTGAATCTGACAAAACCGGGACATCAGAGGACATCGTCGGCTGGTGAAAAATATGTTAGTACTTATTTAAGCCCAATGTTTAGGTTTGGTTTTAGACCATATAAAAACAAAACGAGTCCTCTTTTGTCCCCAGTTGCGTAGTTAAGTGAATGTTTATGTGTTACTGTGTTTAAGAGGCAGATATATGGAGAAAGAAACGTGTGTTTAAAAAGGAGCATGTAATGATCTTGTGAACTCATGGATGGTTGAGCGAGCGAAGATTCAAATGCAAACATGCAAAAACACTGGTTACTAGTCAAAGCAAGTGGATGAAGAGCAGAAAATAATCTCATATGTCACTTCTGTTGTTGGCTTATTGGTATCACAGTATATCTATAGATTCTGCGGTGATAAAGAGGTTCTTGCAGCAGTAGAATCAACACAGATGTTTAGTCATAAATAGATAAATACGTAGACACAGGCCAATTGACCCCTGAGCTGGTGGCCATTCGTTTATCCTATACATTTGCGGTCATATTTATAGCGTTAGATAAATAGGTGTTATTTGTGTATCCTTCTTGTTTTGCCGTCTCAGCCATTTTGGTGTTCCTGTTAAAAATACTTTCTCTCACCCCAGTGTATCAGAAGCCATTTATAAGCTGATTTCCATGAGAATTGTAATCTGCTGTGCTTTCAAAGCATTAGTGTTTGGGAAACCTGTTTGAGAACAATCATTATTTTTGCAGTTTTTGGTGTTGCTTGAGCTGCACAAAGTCACCATCGGTTTAAATGTGTTAAGCTCTCATAATCAGTCTGTTTCCTTAGGGACAATCACATTAGATCGTTAGAGTGTCTCAAATGTCACTTGGCCAGTCTGGACTGTAATTTAGTCCAGAGTTATACAATCAAATTAAAACAGAGTGAAGAGTTGAAATAGGAGAATCATTATGAAGTCTCTTACCTATAGTGGTCAACAAAAATGGGTGTTTGTTAGAATAACTAATTGGCAGTGTTACTGCAATGTTAATCTTTTTGCTAGGCCTGCTGGTTTCTTCATTTTAATGCTTTTCTTGGTCTAAGTTGTCTTTAGTGGAAGCCTTACATTGGTGTATTTATTTATTTTCTAAGTAGCTGTGATATAATTGAGTCGAGCAGTCATTAACGAAAATAAACCTCTAGCTTTGACTGGATGCACGACCTGATCCATCTGTCTGTTTATTTGGCTATAATAATCAGTGTTCGTCAAGAGTTTGGACACATTTGCTCTTTTTTTTTTATTATGACTGTAATGCTTTTGCTTCACTATATTTTAATGTTCTCTTAATCTCACTAATGTCCAAATTGCCCATTTAAAGACATGTTAATGTAAAGATATTCATATTTATGTTTGACTGCAGAACTGCTGTTCATGCATTTAAGCAAAAGCCTTTAGTACAAAGGATTTTACAATTATGAGACACATAAATTCAGTCCGAACTTGTGATTGGAAGTATATAATATGCATACTTAGGATAGAATACAGTTTCATGATTGCAGGCATAAAATGCACATAAAATCTTGAAACTGATTATATATTTTGTTGTCATTATTTTGTTCTTCCGTCACAGAGAAAGGTATCAGCCAATGCTAATAATCGAAAAGTATTTTTCAATATATTATCTACCAAATGTCACGGATTAGTCACGAAAAACACAGAAGATCCAAGAGCAGCTTTATTAACTAGATCCAAACAATGATCCAAAAAACAGGGCAACAGGCAGAAAAACACAGAAGATCCAAGAGCAGCTTTATTAACTAGATCCAAACAATGATCCAAAAAACAGGGCAACAGGCAGAAAACAAGGGCAAAAGGTAATCCAACGCAGAGTAAAAGAAAACACGTAAGAGAAAACAATAATCCAGCAACCAAAAACTAAATGAGCATGGAATATATCAGGGTGAGCTAATAAGACTAAACACACAGCTGGAAACAATGAGAACTAATAGACAGAGCAAAGGGTGATGGGAAATGAAGTCCAGAACAAACTAAGATCCAAAAGGAGTGCCCTCTGGTGGCTATCATGGGCACTCCAGCAGATGGCTGTGACATGGCCCTCGCTTTAAGGAGTGGATTTCAGACACTCCAACAAAAGTCTACGAAATCCAGGAGGGAGGCGGAACAGAGGCGGATCAGGGGGAGGGATGGCGGGCCAGGCCCATGTAGAGGGCCTGGAGACCGAGATAGGCCAGGGTGCCTAGGTGGAGCAGGAGGCCAGGGCGGAGCCGGAAGGACTGACCAACGAGGCTCCGGCCAAACAGAAACCCAGACGAATAGCCAAGGCGGAACCAGAGGAACAGACCAGTGAGGATCCGGCCGAACAGCAACCCCGGCGGGCAACCAGGGCAGAGCAAGGAGCTTGGAAGGCAGCAAAAGGCGGCGCAGACGACCAGCTCTGCAGAGCTGACAAGGCAGATGAACCCCCTAGCGGCTCAGGCAGGACTGCAAAGAAGAGCACAGAGAGGTTAGTAACAGCCTTGATGGCTGTAACAGGACAGGCAGACAGCTCAGCAATGGTCTCCTTGACCGTAACAGGGCAGGCAGACAGTTCAACAACTGTCTCTTTGGCCATGACATGGCAGACTGAGAGTTCAGGAGTGGACGCCACTTCCCAGAGGGGAGCTGAAGCAGACGCAGCCACCTCGGGAGGTTCTTGGAAGGAACTGGAGTAGGCTCGGGAATGAACTCCTGGACTGGAGCGAGTTCATGAGTGGACTCTGAGGTCTCCCAGACTGGAGCGGGCTCTGTGGCAGGCTCCTGGGCCAACAAAGCAGAGAGCTTAGGTGGGGCCGGCAGGGCAAAGAGCTTGGCTGGAGCTGGCAAGGCAAGGAGCCTGGGTGGAGCCGGCAGGGCAAGGATCATGAGAGAGACAAAGAGAGCGGACTGATCAGTAACTTCTGGGACCACCAGAGTTGGGTCCTTCAAGATCACTGGACTTGGCCCCACAGGAGTCAGGTCCTCCAGGACCACCGGACTTGGCCCCACAGGAGTCGGGTCATCCAGGACCACCGGACTTGAGACAGACTCATAGACTGGTGCGGGCTCTGGAACAACTGGAGTGGACCTTGCTGTCCTCCTTCTCGACCTCCGCTTGAGCATGGGAATCGAAGAAGGGTCCTGGACTTGACTAGACGAGGGAGGTGGGGATGGGACTGTCCCTACAAGTGGATGCTGGTGGTGGTGAATTACCCTCCCCTCCGTGCGGAGCTGCAAATACCTAGAGAAGTTCCAAAAGTCCATTGACTTAATCTGCTCCATCTCCCATTGCAGCAGGGGTTCGTCCAGACAGAGATTAAAAATGTCCTTAATGTCCGCATTCTGGCATTCCAGCCTCTCTGCCTTTGTCCAGAACCTCCGCACCTCCACTCCCTGTTGGCGAAGCATCGCCAAATCTCGGAGACCAACTTGTCTCTCCAGAGTCTTGTCTCTCATGCTGCTGGATCAATAACAGCTGAATTATTTGGTCACAGATTACTCACGAAAAACACAGAAGATCCAAGAGCAGCTTTATTAACTTGATCCAAACAATGATCCAAAAAACAGGGCAACAGGCAGAAAACAAGGGCAAAAGGTAATCCAACGCAGAGTAACAGAAAACACATAACAGAAAACAATAATCCAGCAAACCAAAAACTAAATGAGCATGGAATATATCAGGGTGAGCTAATAAGACTAATGACACACAGCTGGAAACAATGAGAACTAATACACAGAGCAAAGGGTGATGGGAAATGAAGTCCAGAACAAACAAACTAAGATCCAAAAGGAGTGCCCTCTGGTGGCTATCATGGGCACTCCAGCAGATGGCTGTGACACCATACTACTGTATCACAGCAATCTTTAATCCTGCTTTTCAGCTTCATTAGAAAAAAGCAATGTGAACAGACTGCCGTGTATTTTTGGTAAAGCGTGCATGTGAGCACATGTTTGTTTTTGTGATTTTGTTTTTGTTTCATTAAAATGTTTTGTCTTTTGTTTTTATTTGAGTTCATCAGTCCCTCTTATTTATCACCAATCAATCAATTCCTGAATCAATTTTAAAAAATTCTC